TAACGGGCATTAACTTATATGAGGCATCCAAATCACGGTCAACCTTCTTGGTGAAAATACTTAGGCCTGCCTTTAGTGCAGGGCACTGAACTAGAAGACCTCTTCTTGAGATCCCTTCCAGTTCTGTGATTCTATAAATCAAGTAAATTAAGCAGCAAAGTTTCAATCTGATGCATATAATTAGCTAGAAGTAGTAAATTTGTAACCTGAAGTATTTTGGAGAAATATGCAAAGTGAAGTGGTTAATAGAAATCAGAGAAAAGCAGATTCTCAAAAGCACCATTGAAAACAGGATACTTCTAAAAACCGAGAAGAAAAGTCTCAAAGCTTTTTGAGCTGCAAATACTTTAAAATAAGGTTTGTATAATATTTTATTCCTTATGTTGTGAAGATTTTAATTTTGTAAAATGTCTTCCTCGTTTTTCCACTTTAAATGCAAAAGCTATCATACTTTCATATTTGTATTATCCTTCATTTGAACATAATACTGTTAACGAGACAGCTTACCCAGTTGGTCTCAGCTTTTTTTCATGGATTTGTGTCTTTTGGGAAGGGAGGGGGAGGAGTAGCTGGTGCTGTTACTGTTTTTGTTTGTGGGGGGGAGGGGTTGAGTCAGGTTTACTTATTGGGGAATCTTTGATTTTGTCTACACTTTGTTGCTTTAATGCAACAGTGCTGGGAGAGAGCTCCCCCGATGCTTTAAAAAAACATCTGGATGAGAGGCGTAGTTCCCAGGCTGGGAGCATATCTAGAATCTTGCTGTGCTCGGAGATGTGTAATTTTTCACACCCCTGAGCAAGAAAGTTTCGGTGCAGTAGCTTGTTTACATTGACAAGCTACTATTTGCTACCTAGATTCCTCATGTGGTACTAAACCTATTTGTGGGATATGTCAGAAAACTTATTGGCATATGCTGTTTTGTCCATTGATTGTACATTGATACCTTCAATGTTCAGACATGTATATGAGAGTGCACCATTCAAATAGTCTTTAAATAAAAACCACTTTACTCTTATGTCTATAATTAATGCTGTCTTCAGTCATTCTCTGCAAGGGCTTGTCTACATATCCAAATTTTACTGCTTTAAATATACTTGAATAGTTAATGGAAGAATACCCTAGCATGGATTAAATAACACCAGAATAAAAGGGAATAATACCAAAAGGGAAGAGGGGAGTAAGATATACCAATATCAGGCATCTTTATAGGGATAGAATTGTATCTATATAGGGATTATATTAGGGATGTAAAGGACTAGTGGACAGGATAGTCAACTAGTTGCTTCCCCCCCCCCCCCCCCCCCACACACTCGCCCAGCGATGACAAAGAAAAAGGGGGTATTCAAAGCAGCAGCACTGCAGGAACCTGGGGTCTGCTGGGGAGTGACCCCAGGCTCTGTGCAGCATTTCTGTGGAACACAGGGTCAGCTGGAGAGTCCCCAGCTGATCCCGGGCTCCGTGGGGTGCTGCCGCTTTGAAATGCCATGCGGAGCCTGAGATTAGCTGGGGAGTCCCCAGCTGACCCCGGCTCTATGTAGCATTTCAAAGTGGCAATGCTGCATGGAGCTGGGGGTCCAGGGTCCATGCAGGTGCTTCCGCTTTGAAATGCACAAGAGCCCCCTCTGAGGCTTTTAGGCACTTCCACATTCCTCCTTTGAAATGTACATTGACTGGTCATGTGGTAAATGTATCAGTATTTAATATCCTTAGGTTATATTAGTATAGCTATATTGTGATTTTAACAAAACAAAAACATACCCATAATCCTAATTGATCAGTTACAGTCATACCCATAATCCTAATTGAACAGTTACAGTCATACAAATGTGATGTGTGGACCAGGTCAAGTAATTAGGTACTTGGGCACAACTGAGAACTACTTTCAAGGAACAGTTAAGGAAAATGCTTATCTGTCCTGTGAAGATACTATGTTTAATTCAGATGTTTGTGACTTCAAGTGATTTGACTAATTTTGAGTCCGAATCATTCACCCACTTTCCTTCGTTAATTTAATTTACAATTTATTACAAACCTTGGTGAAAAAGCAACAGAGGGTGGTGGTTTAACATTTTCCTGCCAAATAGGTAACAAGACAAATTAACTATTTCAATTTATTAAAAACACTACCCTAAAATATAAAAGTAGGTAAAATTACAGGTTAGCTTCCCCTCCTCCTCTGGTGTTTGACCAACTTCTAGTGTCGAAAGCTTTGTCATTTTATTTAGGTTTACTTGCGTGTGTCGTTTCAGGAAATACTAACCGGAATCAAGATTTTTCATCTCAAAGACTGGAACAGGCACAATTTACATCCCAATTAGATGCAAACGCTTCTAATTCATTCACCACTGCCAGTTCATACAGTTACCCAAAAGGTGATGGATCATCCTCATATGAACTAAGACCAAATGATTCTGCAACAGTGGCTCCTCTTAATAATGCATTTGCCCTTCAGACTGGAGGCTTTGCTACTGGAATCAGTGAATGGAAGAAGCAATTCAACCAATCTGCTTCGGTTAACTCCCAGTCCACTTCAGTTCAAGGCACCTCTCCCTATTTCACATATTCAGGGAGTAGGTATTCAACAGAATACAAGTCTAATAGTGATCAAGGAAACAAAACTACAGCACCTGATAACAGAATGGCTTATGGTATTGGAGGTACAAACTGGAAGAGTCCAGGAGCATTTACAAATAAAAAGCATGTACCTGACCAGAGGTCATCCTATTCTGCTTCCTCTACATATCCTTCATCTGGAGGATATTCAACAAACTATCCTTTACAAGGCTGTTCATCTTACTACAGTGGTGGGTCTGCAAATTCCACTTCTTCATCAAGAGGTGGTTCTAGTTGGTCAGAAGAATCGAGACATCAAAAATCAAATTTCAAGCCTGATTCTACCTCATTCCGTTCCTCATCTTCTGTTCACAATTCATACAGAGATTATCAGCAAAACAGAGAGTCAGATAAGATGTTTGAAGATGCTAGTGCTCTTACTCCCAACGTTCTGCATAGATCTCAAGGACAGGATCTACCTTCAATGACCAGAAAGCTCAAGCAGCTGACTCCATATTATCCAGCACTTCAAAGTAAGATTGTGAAGTAATTTAATCTTAGTAAAGCTTTCTTGGCATAGTTGTTCTGTGGCCGGCTACAAAGCAGTAGTAAAGGTTCTACCTTGCCAAGAGCTGAGATGGAGTGTTCAGTTGTGGGGACACTTTGGGTTGGCTTCCCTTAACAGCACATGTTTGCAGTTAAGTATTAGCATTAATATTGCTCTGAAGGGAGCTCATTTTAACTGTTCTGAGGACTGATCTAACTGGTCATGTGGTTATGGGGAAAGTGATATAATGACATGGGGGAGAGATTTGCTCTGGGCCATGTGACTATCCAAGTTCCAAATTTCATAAAGCAGCCGTGTGCTTTAGACTCCAGCAACTAATATCACAAGGGTTGCTGCTAGAGAGACTGAGTAAAAATAACAGTTGGATTGGGGGGGGAAGTCTAACACTGGAGATGGTAATAGTAGAGAGTAGGGATGTAAAAGTTTAACCAATAAGTATTAGCTTTACTGGCTTGTTTACGTGGTAACCAATTAACAGGAAGGCCAGGCCCAGTAGGAGCAGCTCCCCATCAGCAGTTGGGCCGAGCTGGAAGAACCCCCGGCCTACAGCAAACCCCAGCTGCAGAGACCTCTTCTTGGAGGACCCCTATAGCAGGACTCCAGCTGCTTTGCATCACCCCTCCATGGTTAACTGATTAAAATTGTATCATTTAACCAGTTAACTTTTTAATGAGCATTTACATCCCTATTAGGGAGAAATGCAAAATGTGCATCTCTCACACTTGGGGGGGTAATAATTTTCTTTAATAAAATATTTAAACAGCCAATTTGATTCTAACTGCTGTTTTGAGTTGGTCATTTGTCATTATTTTGCATTGATATCTAGACAATAGGCATTATGAATTGTAGCTTGTTTTAAATGTAGAAAAATATTACATTGTATAAACATATTTCTAGAACATTTTAAGGCAGAACTGAAATCATATATAACTGGGACATCATCATGTTGGTGAATTTGCCAGACAGTTAATCCAGATCTTTAATTTTTAGTAACTTTCCTAATTTTAAGAGAATAGTCTGCATTATCTATCTGCCATATTCATCTCTACAAAAACGAGAAGTCCTGTAGCACCTTTAGGGCATGTCTAAACTACATTCCTCTTCTGAAATTTACAAATCTCGCGCTTCATTTGCATAATTGCACTAGCACTTTTTCGAAAAAGAAACCGCAATCTAAATGGGGTTCTTTTGAGGGGAAAAAACAAACCCTTTTTTTCAAAGAACTCGTACACCTCAAAAAGGGATTTTTTTCTGAAAAAGTGGTCTCACGCAATTATGCAAATTAAGCACGAGATTTGTAAATCCACGCTTCATTTGCATTTTCGATCAGGCTCATTTACATTCCTCTTTCGGAAGAGGAATGTAGTTTGATGTGCCCATAAAGACTAACAGCTTTATTTGGGCATACGCTTTTGTGGGAGAAGACTTCATCAAATACATATGTTTACCTATGCAAGTTTATGCCTAAATACATTTTAGTCTGTATGGTGCAACAGTACTCCTCATTGTTTTTGCAGATACAGACTAACATGGCTATCCCCCTGAGACTCATCTATTCAGAGTTGCATAAAAATGATAAATTATTTATTTAAAGGGTTTTTTTTCTTTTTTTCATCAGAAATCAATATTGAAGCATTAGTCAAAGTGCTAATTGAAAGTAGAGAAGTAAGAAGATAAAACAGCTGAATTGGAACAGATGAACAGAACACTGAAGAATTTTCACTTCTGGTTTTTAGGAAACTGATCATTTAAGTTCTGGATGTGTTTTTTGTTTTTTTTTTGTGTGGAGGGGATAGAGTTTATGGTTTTAGTACAGTAAAAATGTAGTTGGAGCACACATTGTTGTCATGAAGCTGAATATATTGTTCAAATACTTTTATGCATTTGTTAAATATTTTTAATCGATTACATTGAAAACTCTTGGTTTTTGAGGGGCTGGCTAATATTAGTTTCCGCTTGCCAAAAAGGTTTGTATGTTATGTATAATTCATTTAGAAAGATTGTTCACTGAAAATAAGAGTTCCATTGCATGAAAAATACAGAAATGTGTTACTTCACTTATAAACCAATGGTCAATTCTAATTTTAGACTGTATAGAGAGCTAGGAAACTTTTTAGAAGTGGCAATACTAATTTTTTTGGGGGGGAGGATGGACACAATAAAATGACACATTTCTCCTACTGTGGACTCAGAATGTGTTATTAAATAAAAAAAAATGCAAACAATTGATAATGGAAAAAAATAACCAATTTATTTTTGTATGGGTATAGTTATTCAGTAGGGACTGTGGGGTGTGTTTTTTTTTTTTTTTAAATCACAGTAGTTATACCACTACAACCCCAGTAAATAATACCCAACCCCGTAATTTTTTTATAAAGTGTAAAAGAGCATACATATATGGAAATGCAGCCAGAATTACTTTGTACAGAGTAGTATTTTCTGTTAGGAGGCTCCACTGCTGACCCAGTCGGTGCTGCTAAAGGAAAAGCTTTCCAACAATTGAGCATATGGCCTGCACATGCCTGATTGGAATCAATGTTAACAAATACTCTAAGAACAGTAGTTCTTCAAGTGATGTCCCCGGGGGTGCTCCACTGTTGGTATCTGGCCTGTTCTGGTGCTGCAGATTGGTGTTTTTTAGCAGTATATGGTTGGGCTGCACATTCATGGTAGGGGACACACGCCATTCACGCCTTTGCAATTCATGTGCGTGACCCTACTCTCCTCAGTTTCTTTGTTACCCTCGGTCACACATGGAGCTTCATTCCCTCTCTTCAGTTATCTAAAGTTAAGAAATTGAGCTGTAGTTAGTTATTAAAACTATTCTCCTGTTCATATTAGTTGCTAGTTTAAAAAAAAATTGTTCTCACTACATGTAAATAGTTTTAAATGCTCCTGAGGGACAGCACACTATTAGCATAGGCCCGGCGGGAGCCCTTTTGGGCCTCTAATTTCTTCAGAGGGGAAAAAAAGATATAAGCACTGAAAGAGCCAGCAGTGGTAACAAACGCCAAGACAAAGACCGTAACCCTACCTGCCCCCCATGCAAAGTCGAGCAGTAAGCTATTTTTTTTTTTTAAAGGAACAAGAGACAAAATACCCAGCTCCCCTGGATTTAAGAAATGCAACAAATGTCTTGACCCTATGCCTGCCTCAGATGGACATGAGTCTTGCATCCAATGCCTGGTTGAGGCGCACATTCCTCAGAAATGTGTGCACTGTTGTAGCCTTATGGCCAGAGCCCACAAGGACAGAGTTGAGACTATGCATATTACTCTTCGACAAAGCTCTTGAACCTCAGACAAAAAAGGTGAACAGTATCAACCTGAGACTGTCAACAAGCAAAAGAAATAGTCAAAAGTTCCCCTTCATGTAAGCCACCTATGAAAAGGGTCTCTCCAACCCATTCCCTACCTCCAAGGATCAGCACGGGAGATATATCGGGCATCTCTGGCACCGGGCGTCCCAGTGTCGCATCAGTGGTAAAACCAAAAATATAGGCTGCAAAGACTGTGGCACCGAAGACTTCCAAGGCCCAGGAACTAGACCAGGATATGGCACGGCTGGCACTGAACAAGACCTTGATGCTGACAAAATTGAGAACTAAATCCGCTAAGCCCTTGCCTTGCACGCCAAGCCCAGAACCAGTGTCCTCACCACCAGCAATTATTCCCCCTCTATTGGCACTGCACTCGGCACCACAGGCAACTTACTCGAGCTGCTGCCATTCTTCCCCGTGCAGACAAGACTATGACATGCCAGTGCTGACTTTGGAGCTGTGAAAGCTCCGAGGCGCCTTTCCCACTCTCCTTTATCTGCTTGGGATTCTCCCTGTTAACCAGTCACCAGTGCTGTCTCACTACAGTGACTATGATGATAATCGCAGGATTGTGATCTCATCTCAACATTTCTTTCCCACCACAGCGCTCATATCTGTCAGACCATGGCCATGGTGTTCCCATCATTTGCCGGGGGTATCTGGACTGGTCCTACAACCCTCATTATCCACCTCATTGAGCTCCATATCATCAGTGGGTGCCAGAAGGCAGCATTTGACGTCCCTTTAACACTGGTCCATAGGTCGATACCTACCTCTCATCATTCCCCTCCTCCAATGGAGGACCTAGAGCCTAAGGAGGGACAGATTGCTGAGGATGCTGATACTGAACAACTGTATGTTTTGCCAACCGATAAATTGTCTTCCTCACCTAACAAGGCGGTTATCCTGGACAATTCATCTCCTACAGATGACTTGAAACAATTTCAGGACTTATTCAAAAGGGTTGCGATAAGTCAGGAGGTAGTTTTATCAGAGGCGCAAGAGAAACAACATAGCTTGTTAAAGAATCACCAGCCATGGGTGAAATCTAAGATCATGCTTGCGATTGATGAAGCAGTCATGGAAGGAGTGGATGAGATTTGGCAAACACCAGCCTCAGCCCCCCCCCCCGCAACCAACAAGAGAGCTGATAAGAAAATATTTAGTCCCCTTGAAGGTCATGGACTTAGTATTTCTCCACCCTCAACCAGACTCGTTCGTGGTGGTAGAACATAGGTCCAATACCCAGCAAAACAAGACCACTATCCATGATAAGGACCATAAGCGATTAAACTTGTTTGGTAGGAAAACATATTCCTCCTTGACACTACAGCTTCAGATAGCCAATTACACTGAACTACTGGCCAACCATGATTTTGATAATTATGCTAACGTGACAAAATAATGCAATGTCCTCCAGATGAGAAACAGCCTATTCTGAAATCCATACTACAAGATAGTTACCACATCCCTCAGAGCATTGCAGATGGTGCTTGAATCTGCTGATATAGCTGCAAGAGCAGCAGTGACATCCATAGTGATGAGACAGTCATCGCAGGCATTCTGAAAACTTCAAACCAAGGTTGAGGACCTCCTGTTTGATAAGGACAAACTCTTTGCCATAAAGACGGACAAGGTCCTTCCTTCCAGCAAAGCCTTTCACTACCCTATGCACATTAAGAATGTGCACACCTCCAGGAGGTGTTACACTGCCTGTTAGAGGCTGAAAGATTTTTCTTACTCCAGGCAACAACAAAGACCCTTTTAACCAGTATTTATCCAGGGCAAGAAACCAATGTTGACAGACTTCCAATACCCACTCATCAGTCCTCCCAACAGCCAAGTTTTGAGGCTTTAGTCGAGGGCCAGTACAACCTCTCCCCTCCTCCAGTGCCTTGCAAACACATGATTTTTCACCATAGTTTGCGCCCTTTTTAAAGCAATGGGCAGCAATTATCACAGACCATTGGGTCCTTGAGATCACGAAATGTGGATACTCCATTTCCCTTACCTCCTTTACACCAACCTTCCCACCCTTCCCGTCCCTCTTGAGGGACCTCTCTCACAAAACGCTTCTACGTCAGGAAGTGGATCACCTCCTACACACGGGCTATAGAGAGGGTACCCGATCAATATCAGGGCAGTTGGTTTTCAAACTACTTCCTTACAGAGAAGAGAACGGGTGGTTGGAGACTGATCCTCAATCTTTGCCAATTAAATACCTTCGCGAGCAATGGTTCAAAATATTCAGACTCACGTCTATCATTCCGGCAGTGGATGAGGGATACTGGTTTGCAGCCCTCAACCCTCAGTATGCTTATTTCCACATCACCATACACCCATCACACAGATGTTTTCTCAGTTTTACAGTCACTGCAGAGCATTTCCAATACCAAATCTTTCCTTTCAGACTTTCTTCTGCCCCCAACTTTCTCAAAGACCCTGGCCAAAGCATACCTATATCTGAAAGGTATGATTTTTCCTTACCTGGACAATTGCTTCGTACAAGGTCCTTCTTGACAAGCCAGAAAGGATGTGCTTTTTTTTTTTTTAACCGAGGCTCTTTGAATCTGTCAGCCTCATTATACAGGAATAGAAATCCACCCTATGACCCATGCAATCTTTAGAGTTCATAGGAGCTGGTCCGGATTCCATGACCGCACAAGCATACCTTTCAAACCAGCACTTCAAGCTCCTTATGGCATCGGTTTTGATCATGATGTCCAGTCCCATCATGAGAATATTAACTTGTCTCTGCCTCATGGGCCATAAGGCCGCCATAATATGTCATCCAACATACGTCTGCAGTTTCGGTGCCTTCAGTGCTGGCTTGCCTCGGTGTATTTCCCTTCCAAACACCAGGTGCAGTGGATCAGTCTAGAGAACCTTCTTGCAGGTGTCTCATTTTACCAGACTACCACAGATGCTTCTCTCCTTGGATGGGGAATGCACCTGCAACACCACTTCACTCAGGGCAGATGGTCCACCCACGAGTCCTAGCTCTGTATCAGCCTGCTGGAACTCTGCACTGTGTGCAATGCTTGCAGATGCTTTTTTCATCACATCCGGGGCACTACGTGGTTACACTGTCAGTGAGGATGTGAACCGATGTGGAACTTGTGTATCCACAATAATATTAATATCATCGCATCATACCTCCCTGGGGTCAAGAATACTACCGTGGACCCACTCAGCTGTCATTCTGCATAGACCATGTGTGGGAAATTCATACGCAAGTCTGACACAACCTCTTCCACCAGTGGGGTTGCCCAGCTGTAGATCTGTGACACACCAGAACACCAAGTGCTCCTAATATTGTTACAGGATGGACATAGGTCCTAGATTGCTGGGAAATGTTTTCCTTATCACTTGCTCGCCTCTACTATGCTTTTCCTCCGATTCCACTCATTCCGTGGTCCTCTGAAAGATCGAGTCAGATGATCCCTGAGTCTTCCTTATAGTGCCAGAGTGGGCCAGGCAGACCTGGTTTCCCTATCTTTATAAAAATGCCTTTCCAACCTCCTTACCTACTTCCAAACTGCCCAGATCTCCTCTCTCAGAATGGAGGCAACTTTCTCCATCCTTAACATCTGGAAATGCTATATCTGATGGTGTGGTTTGCTTTGGTTCTCAGAAGTGGAGAAAAATCTCAGAACAAGTAAAGAATATCTTACTCAAGAGTAGATGACTCATAATATGTATTTCTATAAATGGAAGTGCTTTACAGTCTGGTATGTAACCAGATTCAACCATCTACCGTTCCTCTTCATCTGATTCTCGACTACATAATGCATCTGAAACAATACGGTCTCTCAGTTTCCTCCCTGAGTACACCTCGCTGTGCTGGCAGTGTTTCATTCTCTAATCGGTTCTCAGTTATACTCAACAAACTAGACCACCATTTGTGCCCTTGACCAAATGCTTGCTTTTTCTATTAATGACAAAGACTGTGTTTTTAATAGAAATCACATCAGCAAGGTGAGTTAATAAGATTGCCGCTCTCACAGCATCATCGCCCGAAACTATATTTCATAAAGATAAAGTTGTCCTCTGACTCCACCCCTCCTTTTTGCCTAAAGTCTGTTCAGACTTCCACATTAATGAGCCTGTTGTCCTACTAGCTCTTAACCAAAGCCTCATGCTTCCTGAGCGAAGGCTACTCTGCATACCTTGGATGTTCAGAGGGCATTATCCTTCTATATCGAGTGGAAAAGTTATTTGTTTCAGTTGCTGAGCACGCTCGGGGAATGCCACTTTCATTGCAGCATATTTCCAAGTTAATAACATGTTCCATCATCTAATGCTACTCCCTTCAAAGAGGCCACTCCCTGGATCCCCCATGGCGCACTCCATACAGGCTGTAGCTGCATCAAGAGCCTTCCTGAAGGGAGTCCCATTTAAGGACAGCTGCTGTGCAGCCACTTGGTCATACAACCACATTTTCATGAGACATTACACAGTCTCCATATGAATGGAGACAAGTTCACCTGGTTCCAAGGTAGCCCTTTCATCTGCACATAAGCATTAATCTGAAGCCCACCTACCAGGTTTTGGGTACTGCGGTGTAGTCACCAACAGTAGAGCCCCCCTGAGGCCATCACTTGAAGAAGAAAGTTACCTTGTGCAGTAACCGTTCTCGATTGCCTGTGGGTACTCCACAATCCATCCTTCCTCCCCTTTTCTTCGGATTGACATTCACACAATAGGGCATACTATTGATAGGGCAGGCTATTGACGGAAACTGAGCAGAGTTGGGCCATGCATGCAAATTGAAAAGGTGCGAATGGCACGTGCCCCCACTGCGCATGTACGGCCTGACCAGATACTGCTAAAAAAAAACCTGATCTGTGGACTGATCTGTGGTACTGGGCCAAGCCCGATGCCAACAGTGGAGCACTCAGAGGGGTACACATCTTGAAGAACCATTGTTACTACACAAGGTAACTTTCTTTTCCAGGAAGTATGTTCAGAGCTTGCTTTGCCACTTTGCTGAAGTAAGGAAGTGGGACTTGAGGACTGCTCCAGAAAGCCATTACCTTGTTTTGCATTGTTGGGGTTAGGTAACTTCAGGAAACAGTAAATTCATCTTTCAGATTTGAAATTGTATCTTTGCTGGCAACTGGTTGAAACACTATGGCATAATGGCCATAGTCTATTACAAAATTCACTTTCAGGAAGGGGTGCAATGTCTGGATGAAATTTAAAAATCTTTGGTACCAAGTATTTTGTGGTTCACATGATGGGTCATGGTCATCTCCTTTCTCACTAAACAGTATGTTGAACATTATTTGATTTTTGTGTGTTCCCCAATGCCAGCTCAGAATCTCCCATGTTTGGAAGGGTGCTTTGTCATTTGTCCAGCCATTCAGACTTTGGGATTTGACTTGCCATGTCACTTGTGGCCTTTGCTAAATACTGGCCAGTATGTGCAGCCTTTCTATGCATGAGGTCTGTGTGGTGACCCACCTTGTCAATGTGATCTATCAGTCAGTAGCATATATTGTCAATGAGTGCCAGCTACTCAACCTTCATGGTGACTTTAAGGCCTTTCATGCTGGTGATGAAACTGGTGTCAGTTAGCTAAACAAACACTAGAACTGCTGCTGTTGCTTGGTCGTTTGGATGAGCCCTCTCTCTTTCTAGGGTGAAAAGTATTTGGAGGAGGCAACCAAAAATGCAGCAACTGTTGACTAGATTAAAGTGAAAGAGCAATCCCCACCAGTGGAAGCAGAGGAGAGAGACTTGTGTACAAGGAAGAAGAAAGCACTTTTTCAGTCCATGAAGTTTACAAACTAGCTTGGAAGTACACAGGTGAAAATTAGGTCTGCTTTACTTACACAGAGTATCACAGTAAGTCAGTTTAATTTTTAATGTGGCACTTGTGTTCATGATGTGAAACAAGTATGTTTTTCTTGTCATATGGATGGTGGTGAAGAAGCCAGTTAATTGTTCTCCTGGGTTGACTTAATTTCTTTTGGTAGCTGTAGATATGTATTTGACTATTGCTCAGTAGCAGTTTTAATAATGCTCTCCAGCTCAACCCTCAGTGAAGATGACTTGCCCTTTTTGTATCATCTGCATATGACACACAGCACAAAATGATTTAATGCTGTGCCAGTGAAAGGATATACATAGCAACATCTCCATAAGCAGACAGCATGCAATTTCAGAGATGAATGCAGCTTAGGAAAAATGGGTAAATATTTGCTTCAAAAAAAAAGCAGAAATAATTTGATATTTTGGGGGTGGTCATAAAATTACTGTCTTTGGGAATTCTGCTTTAATTGCCTGCAATTCTCTCACTTCCTGCAGCTGTTATTGCTGTGTAAAGGACAGGGACAAGCTGCCAGAGCCTGAGACCCTCCTTTAAAGCTTCTAGTCCTGTATTAAGTTCATAGCCTGGAGGCTTGAGACAAAACACTTGGGCTATGTCTACACTGGCATGATTTTGTGCAAGAACTTGTTTGCGGAAGAGGTCTTGTGCAAAAACTCTTCCAGAAGAGAGCGTCTACACTGGCACGTGCCTTTGCGCAAGAGATGTGCTTTTGTGCAAGAGCATCTTTGCCAGTGTAGACGCTCTCTTGCGCAAGAAAGCTCTGATGGCCATTTTAACCGTAGGGCTTTCTTGCGCAAGTAATTCATGTTGCCTGTCTACACTGGCCTCTTGCACAAGAACAGTTGCGCAAAAGGGCTTATTCCTGAGTGGGAGCATCATAATTCTTGTGTAAAAGGCCCTGAACCTGTGACCAGTGTAGACAGGCAGCAACTTTTGGTGCAAAAGCAGCTGCTTTTGTGTAAGATTGCACCAATGTAGAGACAGCCTTGGAAAAAGTCTTGCTGGCATGATATTAAGACTGACCTTCCTTGAATTAGGGGGGAGGGGAGTGTGAAATGCTGGTATTACTGGGCAGTGTACACTCCATCAATTAAGCACAAGTTCTCACAACTGATAGTGTACCATATCCTCCACAGAAGCCAACATTTGTTGAATTGTGTAGGACAATGACCACTCTGAAAGTGGCTTTCATTTCAAATAGGGGGGTTTCTACTGTTCAATAGGACCTGTTGAATAGCTGAGTGCTTTTCTTCATTTAGCTATAAAAAAGCACCCATATACTCTACAGCTCTTCCATAGCTGAGCTCTTTGCACAGAAAACAGCAAAGACCCATGGGATGGGTGCCACTAAAGCTGAAACTTTTAAATTATAGCAAAGGTTCCATGTTGGATCAGCCCAGTAAATGGTACTTTCAGCTCATTCTTGGGTTATTCTACCCCAGCTAATGATACATTGTAACTGAACCACTCCAAGCTAAAGCCAGGCCTGTAGGGTCCCAGCTTCTCATACAACTGCCACCTGCAGCTACAGCAGCAGGCAGCTGCCCATCCAGCTACCCAGAAAAGAATGATCAAAACCAGCTTGGAAAAGGCTTTTGAGGGCTGGAAATCTTAAAGCAAGATGTACCTGCGCTCGTTGCCCTCTCCAACTGCAGGAGGTGCTAAAACTTTTACAGATTTTCCAATATTGGTCTCACTATTCCAAACATTCCTAAGCTTGCTGTTAACCTAAATTGCAAAATGCTATTACAAAATATTTATCCACTCAAATGCTTCAGAGGGGTAGCCAAGTTAGTCTGTACAGAACAAACAGTCTGGTAGCACTTTAAAGACTTAAAACGTGTAGATGGTGGTATGAGCTTTTGTCAGCACTGCAGATATAGAAGTCAAACATTTATGTATCATCTTGATATGATAAACAGCTTGTTTGGCTTAAGCCTATGACCACCAAGACCAGATCAATGTACTGAGAATTTTTTTCCATTGACAATTTTTGTCCATTGGTCTCATTTGTGTAGTACTTAATCCCCATCATAAACGTACAGGAACAATGCTTTTTGAGGATACCTGAGTATTGCCCCAATGGCTCCTCTGACAAGCCCCCACTAAGCTGTAGTGAACCTTACTATTAAATGCCTCTGAAGAACTTAAATAGCTCCTGCAGTAAGTTGCTAATGTACAGCTATTATTTGTCCAAATTTATCCTGTAGCAACACTGTGATGCATTTGCAGAAGTTTCATCTTCCCCTATCAGTAATGCAAGAAGTCCCATAGTGAATTTGAGGCAGCCACACCCAGGCCAAAAAACCTACTCTTTCCTGTGTTTCAGTGACAGTATGAGATTACCTTCAGACCACCGTCACTCTGTTCCCTGAACATCTCCATCTTAAACAATTGCAGCCCTGAAACTCCAATATTCTCATTAGGATGTGGCTCTGTTGATTCCCCTGAAATACTGGTTAAAGGTCAGAAACAATATATTTTTCTTTGCAGTGCGGGAAAGGTGAAGAAGTATGGCTTCACTTCAAATTAAGAATTCCAATTTTCTTAGTGCAGAAATTGTAGAACCCAGAATTCCACCTACAGTATCCAATCGGGGCAGCGGGGGGGGGGGAGAGAGCCATTTCCCTAACTACCAAACTATACTGCTAATCCTCCATCTGAAGATAAGCTGTGCAGAGGCTCTACTGGTAGCTCCAACTAAGACTAAAGCCAGTTGAGAAGGAATGGGGGCAGGGGGGAGAGAAGGGTGGTGGTTTCACAGAGCTAGATAACTGCAATTGGTAGCACAAGAAGGAGAGTACCTGTGTGCCCCAACCTGAAGTGGCCCTCCCATATGAGCTAATCAATAGAGAAAACAGCTGAAAATAGGTCAAGCATAACAAGGAGCAGAAGTTAAAAGGCTGCAATTCAAACCCATCCATGAGTAGAAAAGGACTAAGGGAACAGACAGTTGCTGGCTACTGAGCCTGGAAGGAAGGCAAACTTGCACCTCTTGCTGAGGATGTCATTCAGTGGTGCAGCACACCTGAGGCACAAGATTCAAAGAGCAGAGCTGTCTTTGGAGAAATATCATTAGGCACAAAACTGGACAAAACAGTGTTGACTGTCTGATGTATTTACTGTTTTAAATTCTGTATTAAAAATTAATACATTAAATCCTTATAAAAAGTAAGGCACGTGCAAACCCTGTTGTGCAATTTGTCTGACCACTAAGTCACTTGTAATTAACAAGCATTATTTTAATTTTGTATTTCTAAAAAAATATTTTTCCATGCATGATAATCTGGAAAAAAATTAGCACTGACATCACAATAATAAACTTTGCACTAACAAGTGATATGGCCATTGTTGCTACAGTAATATCACATAAAAGCTAAGCAGCTTGAGTACAAAGATTCTGAAGCTGATGGCATACACAATTGAAGAGAACAAAACAATATTTATAGTCATATTCAGTAAGTGACACGATTTGGCAACTCCAATCTTTGTAGCGCTAATGGCCAATCTCATTTGCACTGCTCACTGTCATACAATGCCAAAGACCATGGTAAGATATTGTTCATAAGACACTTGAATCCAGCCATCCTGATCAGTATCGTAGCGCCTGAATACATCAGTCAACCTCTGGAAAGAAAGAAAACGTTACTGAATAGAGAGTGTTTACAAGTAGTACATGTGTTTCTCTAAACTGGGGTTCTGGACTGCATTTCCAGCAAGGACAGATTCCTGAGCTTTCCCCAGGAGGATTGGGAATTTGCTCTTGGCTGGTGGCTTAATAAGCTTTCCTCTTACTACCCAACTATGGCACACCATTGTTTGTACATAAATAATTCAATATGTATGTATTGTATATGTTTACTACTCAGCTCAATGAAATTCAGCACATATTTGCCAAGAAATTTAGGGGGGGAAATTACTTTTCCACTGGACAGATAAGATCCTCAGCATGGTTCAACGAGCATCTTTACATGCTTGAAAGGTCATGTGCTACACCAGGGATTGGCAACCTTTCCAAACCAAAGAGAGAAACTACAGGCAGTCCCCGGGTTACGTACAAGATAGGGACTGTAGGTTTGTTCTTAAGTTGAATCTGTATGTAAGTCGGAACTGGCGTCCAGATTCAGCCGCTGCTGAAACTGATCAGTTTCAACAGTGGCTGAATCTGGACACCAGTTCTGACTTACATACAGATTCAACTTAAGACCCCCAAGTCAGCTGCTGCTGAAACTGATCAGCAGCTGATTCCAGGAAGCCCGGGGCAGAGCAACTCTGCCTGGGGCTTCCTGT